GGGGGGGGGGGGGGGCCGTTGATTAATCCGACGTCGACATTACACCAAGTCAGGAGAACCTAAAATATGATGGCAAATTCGTAAGTTAGCTCTAGACTCTAAACCAAATCCTTCAGTCCCTCTCTATAATAACATTCTCTATCCACATCTGGCCCAGTCGAACATGACTAATTCCGCGCAATACAGTTTCAGGATGTTTCAGGCTCGTTTCTTGAAAACCACTTGACGGACATTGGCTTTAAAGGGAACCGTTGCCCACCGCAACCCCGCGTCCGGGCTTGTCTCGGCGCATTGATCGTGCGTGTCTCCTTACATGCGGCGGCACAAGAGCTTGCAGTCCAACTCTCAGGCTTCAACCTGCGCGTTGAGCTCGGCGCGACAAAGTGTTGAGCTCGGGCCGTTCCACCGAAGCGATGATGAGTTGAACAGGGGAAGCATCATGAGTTGGGGTAGTATGAACACATGCCAACATATGATCAGAGGTGTCAACTGACTAGGAAATCAGCAAAAAGTGCAACGACTACGACATTGCTGTTCCACACCCACCTTCACTGTTGCTCCCCAGCCTGCGATGAGACATCACCTGTGGGACATGGACTGCGCGAGCGAAAGAGACATGGGGCAACGACAGCCATCCAACAAATGAAGCCAAACGCTACATGTCGCATTCCAGGCTTGATCTCGTTCAAGCTATAACAGCTTCTCCTTTATGCATTAAAAATGCCGGGAACATGCAAAATAAGCCAACCTCGGTCATGCAAACCTCTGGATTCTCTCTACGCTTGCAATACATCTCGAACTAATTTCCATGGATTTGCACAACATATCCGAGCTGATCCAAGCCTGCAGGATCTCCATGGCCAACGGCCAGTCTCGATCTACCACACCTGGGCCACTGAGAATTTGTGGCAAACATCAACCTTCTGCAGAGCCTCTCCCGTGCGATACCCGCAAAATCCAGGGTTTCTGTGAAAACTGTGTCAAAGTCCAACGGGTGGTTTGACACGGCTACTTTCGATGCGAAGATCCTCCCCTTTCATGCGAAAACATGGAGCTTTCATGAGATTTCGATCCGGCCGGATTCCTTGAACGCCGGCCATGTGGGTCTTGGAGGCCGGTGGCACATCGAGCCGACATCTAATGCGAACGTCCGTTTTGGGGCAAGAAGAGTTTTCCGGTATATCACAGTGATCCTTGGATGATTCCCCTCAGAGCAGCAGTTTTATTCAAGTTGTTGTTGGTAGAGTCAAGTGGCCCCACCAAAACGGTGGTGTTCAGCGAACCTCCCAAGTGGGAAGCGACCGCTCCCTCTCAGCTGAGCGACGGATCAAGCCGTTGAAGCCTCAGAACTGACCCGGCTGAAGAAGTGAAAAAGCCGAGTCACGAACTTGTGGCACGTGTCAAGTCTTCCTCATATTATCCACCAGGCCCCCACCACAGAGAAAAAGAATGGTCAAACATGCATGGCAGATCAATGGAATTTGAATTCATCATCCTCCGGTCTTGTAATTCATCATCCCATAGTACAACTGCTAGAAGGAGGAGATACAGTAGTCTTCCTGCCTCCATCTGGAGACCTCGCCACAGGACTCCACTGAATATCAGCTCAGCTCTCTTCGCCTAGCCGCAGATGGTGTTCGACGCAGGCAGCTGACCTTGGAGCGCACCAACGAAGACGGTGCCCACCGATGTTCACGTGGAACATTTGGAGGAAAAAGAGATCACATCAATCACATCTAACTGAGCAGTAGGTGAAGAGAAGATGATATCTTGGGTCGTCGATGCTGGCTTTTCATCTCCACAGTAAGGCAACCGATCAAAGGTCGACGTCCACAGCGGTGGAAGGATGGAGATGAGTTCGAGATGAGTTCGACATACGGCTCAAGCACCCAACACGTGCATCCAGCACCATTCAGGTACCGTATCATCAGTGTAATTTACCAAGGAGTGCATCCACCAGCATCCAACACCACTCTCCTCCCCCGTTTCTTTTCTTGATCTCCCATCTCAAGTCCCACACTTAGGAGGCCCAGGGCTTTGGGCCAGCTGTTGCAGGCACTGCAGAGGTGGGTGAAGCCTCAGTATCGAGTCGGTATGGCTTAGACGAGCACAAGGGTCGTCGCCAGGTGGAGTGATAGATCTCCAATGTCTGTGAAGTGATGCTGTTTGTTAAGTGTGTGACTGAAAGTGTCGGAAGCGTTGTGGTCATTGGTCCTCTTTCCAGTGGAAGAAGACCATTTTGGAGCCATAGCTACGTGCTCAATCCGTTTTCTAAACACCTCTGGTGGAAGGCTGGAAGCAAAATCAAACGCTCCAGCCTTGCACCAACATGTCGAGTCACACCTGCAGGGCTCTCAAATTCCGGCACTGCCGCGCCCCCAACAAGTCCAAAAAGCCTGATGATAGGGGTGGAGAAAAAGATCAAGCAACTTGAAGCTCAGGAACCAGGGGTGAGCCCTTTTCAACGTTTGACATAGTACTCAGGAGGTGTTCCACAATGCGCAAGTTACCTTGGCCAACTTGAAGTCCACCCAGAAATGCGCCAGAATGCAATCCTTTCATGGACCAATGGACAACAGTATTCTGTTGATGGAAAACTCAAAGGAGATTGACCCGAACCAACTCCTTACAAACCAATTGCTAGGGGGAAAGGGTGGGCTGGGCCTGCTTTTGGTAGACTTCTAAGCTGTCTTACCTCCAATCCAGCCAAATCAGCCCCAGAAGGTCGGCACCCGAGGGCGAAGAGAGTCCCAGTGCTCCGGTGGTCCAAGCCACTGAAGGCATCGGGCAGCAAACCGCAGGCTCTGAGGCGGCCTCAGATCTCGGCCGTGAGACCCTTGGGCGACCCACACGGCAGATGTGTGGTTCCAAGAAACACATGACCCGCCAAGGATGCGGATGCCAGTGGTACTAGTAGGACATGCACTTGTGACTGATGTTGGAATGTGCGTGCGTCATCTTGTGTCCTGCTTGCTTTCGATGCAATCACTATGTACAACTATTCACTTTGAGTCTGTCAAGTGGTTCTTCAGCCTCTATTACTATTACCTATAATCTACACACACATGATCAAACATGTGCCTTCTCAACTGGCTGGTGGCTCCGTTCTTCTTCTGGATCGCTTCCAATAGTTTTCAGCCGGTGGAGGATTTGTTCATCAACCATCTCTCACTGAAAACCAACCCTTGCTGAGAGTGGCGGGCGAACCCGCCAGGCTGTACCCATCACCCAGAGCTAGATGGAATGGATCAGAACCATACTCTTCTCCTTCCAAAGTCTCTGGAAATCGACCATCCACTCCTTCCGCAGAAACTGGTCCTCTGTGTTCGGATCACGCCAAGTCCGAAAACCCCCGCAAGTCGCTGGGGTCGCGGCCCAACACGCTCACCGCCGACGCCCACTGCGGAACGGGGCCGAAGGCCTCGGAGGCGAAGGCGAAGAAGGCGAACTCGCCGTTCGGCCCGACGAGCCGGTTCTGGCCGCAGAACCGAATGGCTGGAACCTCCAATTGAGATGGAACCATGAAACATCGGCTGAAGATCTTGAGAGCCTTGTTTGATTGGATTAGAAGACTTTGAGAAAGAGCTGACCACCTAGCCACCTAGCCAACAACGGAGCAACTTGGATCTCCTTCCTTCCCCAAAAACGCACCCAGCGTATACTGCGACATCCAGTGTTTCACCCAGAACGTGAAATGCCAGGCTGCGCTTAGCACCACGTTGTAGTGGATGAGGTTCACCTGCAGCCTGCGAGAGGTGGAGGCAGAAGTACACTGCAAGCCCACCACGAGGGTCAGTCTTGAACACTCTCTTTGAGGCAACTCTACGAGACTTGATGAGATTTGTTCTTTCGTCGAGCGAGCCGCCGTTTATGACTTGTGTCTTGCACTGTCCCGTTGTGATGTTCACCTTGCGGTTCTCAGTCCTCAGTGAGAGGCAATGCTACAATTGCAAGAAGGTCTTGGGATAGAGTCTGTTTCACAACTCGTAAACTGTTCTGTTGCTCACAGGGATCTTATCAAAGTCAATGTCACATATGGCAACGACCCTTTCGATGTCGGCACGACCGGGATGTGTCAAACGCCGGAAATGGGTCGCGTCAAGGCTGTCTGATGAACCAAGCACAGAACAGTAACATGGCTCCCCATCATACACTTCAGGCTTCTGGATGCCACACGGAATCCTTCAAAGAACCTAGACCTAGCACCTCAAGCAAACTGCACCAATCCTGCTTGCTTTCTGCTTCCTGGTTTGACCAATTTGCGGACTACCTGGAACACCTACCACAGCTGTTTGCAGGGTGATTGTGTGCATATCAAGACCAGCGGATCAAGATTCCTGAGGCAAGTACGCAAAAAAGCATCCATTCTACTTGCTGGTGGCCTTGATCCTCGAAACCCAAACGCAAAGAACACAACCCAGGCAGTGTCTGTGACGATCCCTCAGCCTCAGTAAGATACTGACCATCCATCCTGACGCGGCCCAAAAGAAAGTAAAGCGCCTGGCGATGCTCATCGCCTGGAGCATCTCCTGTGCCACATCCTCAGGGCGCAGGTCGAAGCTGCGCATGTGTGCTTCAGAGGTCATCAATGAGTCAAGAGAGATCAGAGGATCTGAGGATGCCTTTGGCCGTAGTGTTGATATTCGGGCATCGACTACACATGCAAGTGGCTCACTCCAAAGTTCCAAAGTCCGACTTTGGGACTCACATAGAGCGATTGCAGTCCAGTCCATCCAACTTGAGAGATTGCAGGCTAGTGGCGGGTCGTCCAGACCTGCCGCCACAAGCAATGTGAGTTTGTTCATCTTTGTTCCCCCCCCCTTTCAGGGTTTGATTGGAGAAACCTCTTATTTCGTGGGTTTGAGTCAGTGCGTGTGTGACGTGTGTGTTTTAATCAAGACTCCGTGGAGACTCCGCTTGAGGGTCAAAGTTTTATTCGAAAACTAAAAGGTGTTCTTCGGAAACTTTACGGTGTTCTTCGGAAACTAATCTTCGGAAACTTATCTTCGGCAACTCAAAAGTTATCTTCGGAAACTTTAAGGTTTTCTTCGGAAACTAGTCTTCGGAAACTAATCTTCGGAAACTCTACTGTTTTCTTCAGAAACTAATGTTCGGAAACTACGAAGAGTCGAAGAGCAACATCAAGTCTGCACAAAAAAGTGTCTGCAAATCGTAAAATAGGCATATATATATATATATACTATATACCGTAGCCGTCACAAGGTACGTCAATAACCACCCCCCACCCCCGACCCACCCAGTGCTCCTTCATGCAATTTGTAAAAGTTCTGAAGAATACTTTCTAAAGCATGCAAATAAGTTTCTGAAGATCCGAAATAATTTCTGAAGATCGCGAAATAGCTTCTGAAGATCGCCAAATAGTTTCTGAAGAATTGTTTCTGAAGAGTAGTTGCGGAAGAGTGCCAAATAGTTGCGCAAGAAAAGTTTCAGAAGAATGGAGAGTTGCGGAATAGGACTTTGTTCCCGTTTGTCGGTGCCTGTAGAGGATGCAAGAAACACTTCCCAGCCAGTTGGAAGAACACTTGTCAATCTTGGCTCCTGGTCTTGATGGAAAGAGGTCACTTCAAAGCATACCAAGCTCGTTTTTTACGGCTTCACACAAGAAGCTACTAGGGGCTCCTGGCCCTACTACTAGGAGCAAAGGACGCTACTAGGGGCTCCTGGTATCGCTACTAGGAGCATTCTTGCTTCCAGTAACAAGAAGCTACTAGGAACAAGGGCATCGCTACTAGGAGCAAGGACGCTACAAGGGGCTCCTGGCCGTACTACTAGGAGCATTCTTACTACTAGTAACAATGTTCGCTACTAGGAACAAACACCGGTGGGCTTTCACCCGCCTGGCCCATCTGCCCAATTGCTCGGTGGCATGCGCTGGCGACCAGCGACACACCTGCTGGAAAGCTTTTAAAGTGTCCCCATTGCACTTCCGGTGATTCCCAAAAAGACTGGCAGGACTGTGAGGGCCGTGAGGGCCGTGAGGGCATGTGAAAAGTGCTCTGCCATCCTGTTAGTGACAAATGCACTACTGGTCATTGACATTGACACGGATCATGGACCTGTTCAAGACCCATTTCCTCTCCCGCGTGGCCATTTTCTGCGCGCTGAAGAACTCTGGAACTCCGATTCCTTCCTACTCACGTTCGGAAGTGGAACAACCAGAACCGGGTCTTCCAAGAAATCGTCCCAAAACAGGGATCAAATCATTCCCATGCCCCGGAATATGACGCAAAAATGGTCCGAGTCCATGGCCCAAATACCCTCAAGCCCATGGGCTCGGTCTGCCTCCTCCACGCGTGGTCTGCTTTCGCCGCCTGCACGCTTGGTCGGCCGAAGGTGCTGAGCGGATCCATGGGCAGGTTCCCGCTCACCCACGTGAAGTGGAGGCTTGTTTGCCGGCGAAGTAGGGAAAGCACCCCCCCAATAAGTTTGGCGGTCGAGAAGCCAAGGCAAGATTCTGGAAGCCCGGGTCCACGTTCTGAAGCTGGCAGTGCCGCACCAAGCAAAAGAGTTAGAGGTCGGTAGGTTCTCCGCGCCAAACCGGTTGCACAGATCCCTTGAGTTATGCTAAGCTTCAAGACCCGCTATGTGAACACCTTGACCGCCTTGGCCGTTCAACCCTTTCATCTCCTTTTGACTGACAATAAGTAACCGCTCGTATCAACAAATTATCATTGCTTGATCAACCCAACGTCAAACACCATCAAAGACCTTTGAGTTGATGGAGGGCGAGCATTTCAGCATAACTGCGGCCGCTCCTTAATTGATGTAGCATGCCATGTCACTACTTGCCTTGTCAATACTTGTAGCATGGAACCCTTAAGCCACATCCAAAACCACCACTTGGCAAGACTTGCTCTGGTGAGCTGCGCTCGATTGGTGTCAATCCACCCGCACCAAAACACCCAAAACGGTCCTTGGGAGCACGTCGGCGACTGCGACCGCGTCACACGGACCCGCATCCATGGCGTGCTCAATGCGAGTTGCTCTGCTGGGCCAGGGCCACTTGGGTGAAAAATCCTCCATGGCAGCTTAGCAGCGTGTCATGCGTTTAACCGTGTCTTTTTGGCATGTTCCCTTCTGGAAATCTAGCAGATCCAAACCGCCAGACGTTGGAGTACAGGTTCCAACGAATCTGAGGACGGACCCTTCAGTGGAGACATCCCAGTTCGCTGACCATCTCAACAGCAGAGGTGTGGCTGGAAGCCTACCGCTGGGTGTAGATTTATCCGTTCAACCCAGCCGGCAGCTACTTGTTAGTCGCTTGGGCCATGGCCGTGCAATTCATTCGGCGATTCCGAGCTTGACTTGGCTGTTTGCGCAGCGATGAGCTGCTGGCATCTGAACACCCAAGCAGTCTCTGAGCACCCGAGGCTATCAAACACCCAGGGAACACAAAAACCCTGCAAACGTCAGCAATCATTATTGCTCATTGCATGTGTCCAATGAAAGCCACGAGAAGAGTGAACGCAAGGGCACTGTTCCCAGCCCGCAAAAGCAAGAAAGACCCACTTGAAGGGAAGCAGTCTGCGTCTTCGTCTTCTTCTTCATATTCTTCTTCACTAAAACTAGCATAGAAGCTGATCATAGACTCTTTTTAAATTTGTTCATTGTGTCCTCTACAAACTGATGGGTTTGAGAAGGTTCCACTCACGAGAAGGGTATAATCTTCCTGTTCAAGCTCAGTTGCTCTCCGTAAATCATCCACACCCTGCCCACTGACCTCAAAAAAGCCGGCGCTGGGTGTCCAAACCGCAAAGAGAGTCTCCACTTCGTGCTGCGTGAAGCCCAGGCCTGCGCTCGGCGCGGGCTTGAGTAACCGGAGGCGACGGCAAGGGAGGATGTTTGGCCTTCTTCAGGAAGAAAGTCAAGGAAATGGGTCACGTCAACTGCAGGGCAATGTACTGTATAACCTGATATAGTCTTTCTTAATCTTTCTTATATTACATGTTCTTAAGCTGAGAATAATCCGAGTATCTTGCGTTTGATCCCGTCGCCCGTATCTGGGAGACAGCTCTTAGGTGACAGTGAATCATCACCCTTTTGAAGTAAACTAAACTCTTTTAAGAACAGCGGAATACGAATGTGCGCTCAACCTAGAATACCCATTCTCCCTCACTCCCCTATTCCTGTGGGTTGCGTTCAGGCCTTGAACCCTTGCGGCAGGACCCGGATCCCAGTGAAACGAAAGATTCACTGGAAATAAGGCGGTCAGTCCACAAAGTATATGTTATAGTTATATTCCACCAAAACGCTTGTGAGGGAGAGTGGCTTTGTGATTTGATTCCCTTGTGGGAAAGAATTGCAAGAATTGCCAAAATCTATCTATCTATCCATCCATCCATCTATCTATCTATCTATCTATCTCCCTCCCTCCCTCTCTCTCTCTCTCTCTTTCTCTCCCTCCCTCCCTCCCTCCCTGCGTGGTGACTCGCCACGGAAAAACGGAAAAACCATGCTCACCGTCTCCCCTCAAAAGTGCTTCATGTCTCTCTGGCCACCCGCGCTGGCTGGGTGTGCGTGCCCGGAGTCTGATCACGCAGCCGCAGCCAACGGGCCACCTCGGCGGGCGAAACGGGCCGAACTCGCGCGGGATGAGATGTCTCTGAAATACATGATACATCATGATACATCTGTATCATCTGTTCAAGATGCTGGCAACTCGTAGAAAACTTCCGTTTGAGAATGTTTGAGAAGTGAAAAAAACACCTGTGGCTACGATGTGGCTTTTCCGATGGTTGCAGTGCGTCCACTTGACCCATACCTGGCAGGGTTTCCGGTTGGAGTACTCCCACGTCGGTGGCTTCTTACGTCGGTGGCGTCGCTGTGTTTCGTTCCATGGATCGGTGTGTGTGCTGCTGCCATCTTCCTAACCCCTCTAACTCTAAGATGTTCCAATCCCTCTCGTGACCCATGGATAGCTTTATTGCTCCTCCCATCTTTCGGGAAGATTTCATGAGCACCCACGCAATCTGCATGAGTCTCATGCGTCAAGGTCAACTCCCTCTGTTCGAAAAAACCGACTACAGCATGCCGACATCTACAGCTCTTACCTACAGAAATATATGTTTCCCCCACTCCCAGTTTTCGTCCCAGCCGACCTCATGCTTCTTCACCTGACCCTCTGAACCTGGTTGGACCCTGCTGGTGTCCGAACGGTGGCGCTTGGCGTCCGCACCCGTGGCGGTTGGGAGGTGAACCTGGGCGAAACACCCGTGGACCGCTGGCGTCAAAGGTGCGAAGCGCGGATGGAAAGAGGGGCGCCACCCGGACGCGCCGGACGCGCCGGGCCCCTGTTCACGTGTTCCCACTCCCCCCCGACGTTTGGACGTGCCCGGACTGGTCCGAGAATCGACCCCATCGTCCATCCGGAACTCGGGCGCCGCACAAGTATCGATGAAGATCTCGGGACTGGAGCAGCAACAAGTCGTCCCTCCAACGCCTGAAGCGTGACGAGTCCGGTGATCCGAGATGGCGAAAAGAAAAGTCCCATGGAGTTGGGGGGATCTTCTGGGGCGTTTGGGCGGTTGGGCCAGTGACTTTGAAGTCGCTGACTGTAGCAGAATGAGGATTGGTGTTCTCTCTCTTCAATGGGGCACCCATCAGAATTCCCCAACATTCGCACCACCCCATCCATCCATCCATCCATCCATCGATCCTGATTTTTCTGGAGATCAAAGAAGACACGGGTGGGGTTGGACCCTACCCTTACCAGGAGAGCACAGCGAAAAGAACACCTCTGAGTGGATCTAAGGCTAAGGAAGTTCTCTTCATGGGTGTCCAACCATCCAAACCTTTTCAACTCCTTCAACTTCCTTCCCTCGCCACCCACCCCCGCCCACCCACACACACCGGCGCTCCACCTCAAGGCGTCGGCCCAAAGATCCCGCAGCTCGGTCTCCACCTTCACCTCCCGTTCGCATCGGCTCGCTTCGCAGCGGCTCGTGGTCTTCGGCTCGGTTCGCAGCTCGCAGCTCGGTTTCATCGCGCCAACAGGTGGAAAAACCGGAGACCTCGCACACAGAAACAGCACACGATCGCTTAAAAGTCTTCTGACTCCCAAAAAGGAGGACGGGACATCGCCCCAAACCAATTATTGGAGGATTGGACGTCCCTTCTCCCGTACCACAAAGAACGGCGGCTTGGTTCGCGCTCCGTCACTGCGTCCCTCCCACTGCTTTCGGCCACCGCACCACGCTTTCCGCGAACCACTTCACGTCCTCCAAATCCGTCACGCTCAGCCTCGGCACCGGGGCCCCCATGTTCGGCGACCGGTCCCGACCGGACTGGGTGGACCCCAGTTTCGGAAGCTTACTGCCCCAGCCCCACCCCCCCCACCCCACCCTGAATGCAAGAGAACGCATCAACTGACCACGCAGGTGGTTGTTCACATCGCCCCCTAGTTTGGGAATAAAAGTTTCTGAGCATGAGGGACAGTAGTTTCTGAATACGACGAAAATAGTTTCTGAATACGACGAAAATAGTTTCTGAATACGACGAAATAGTTTCTGAATACGACGAAATAGTTTCTGAATATGACGAA